GGAGCTGCCTGGATCCGTCCCCCGCAGGAACCTGGGCAAGGCCCCTCGGCCGAGAAGGGTCCTCTGCCCTCCCAGCTGAACGCTTTGTGTCTCGGCGTCCTTGCAGAGGCACACAGAGCTCCCGGTGCGAGCGGGGCTGCCGCTTTGGCGCTGCACGCCCGTTTCTCCGCTCCGCTGCGCTCGTCGGTTTGCTGGTGCTCAGGTCCTGTCAAACACATGCCCCTGCTCTCACGTCCACTGCGGTCCTTGGGGTCACACACCTGGTCCGTCTCCTGCCTGACCGGAAGCGGACCCAGAGCCCCCAACTCCCTCCGATCTTAGACAACAGGAGCAGGATGAAGCAAAGGTCAATTTTGGGCCTGGTGGAGGCAAACTGAGTCGAAATGGTGGGCAAAGAAGTTCTTGACTCTTCTCTGAGCCAATGCAGCTTTAGCCTGGGGCTGATCCCCGGCTCCCTGCGAAGGGCCCTGTGCCCGGCTGCTGGAGGGACCCTTTAGGTCGTGCTCCCTGCAGCTGGAGCAGAGCAGAGGGTCTTCGGCACCAGCGAGACTCACGGTATTTGCCCTGATGCGAATGTTTTCCTTCTGATTCACCCCAGCGTCAGGAAGAGGACGGCATCTGGTACCGCCTTTCCACAGCTGAGTTTTTGTCAGTGCACCAGGAGGTGAATTTTCTTTACCTGTTTGAAGTCATTTCGTATGTGAAGAAACAATGAATCACAAAGAGAAGCCTACAGCAATTAGAAACTCCTTTCCTCTCACCTTTGCCAAAGCCAGATTTTTTCCCTAGAACAAAGCCCAGGCAAGCCTTCCTACGCACAACAACGATTACGTAGATCACTCTGGATTTTGTTTTTTTCACAGGCCGTGAGCAAGCAAAGGAGCTGAAGGAGAACGCTATTTCACAGGCACGTTTGTTACGCTTCCTTGGAAATCCCATTGTTCGCTGGCAGGGCCTGCTCTTGGCTACAAGCGCCGTGCCCTCCTGACGTCGGCTGCCTTTAGTTGTGCCAGGGTGCTGGCAAATAAGGACAAAATGTGGCAAACTGAAAAAGCGCCGCTGGAGTAAGTCAGTCCTGGCAGTCTGGGCATCCGTTTCAACGCTCTGCGGTGGGATCAGCGACCGAGTGCTCTGCGAGGGGCCCGCAGTCACACGTGCCCACCCGTCGGGGAAACCTGTGCGGGCAGTGCACCTCGTGTCCCCTCCTCCATGTGTGCTGCGTGTCCCCGGCAGGCGGGAGCGTGGGGCCAGTGCTTTCCCGGGAGACGACTGCTGAGACACACCGTATGAGTAAGGCCTCCTTTGCATAGCGATTGCACACTCACGCTGAAGGAGGTTTCCTAGGCTTAGCCTCATTTCCTTCTGCAGGGAGGTTTTCATTCATGTAGGAAAAGCCCTGTTCTTGAAGTCCTTGGACCGAAAGCAGTTTACGTCGGCGTGACGCAACGCCCTCCTCCTGGCAGGTTTGGGTCCGCCCGGGTCGGGCTGCACAGCGGCACACTCTGAAGCAAAACCCCAGCCTCTGCTTGAGTGGGACGCAGGTACCCCGCTCGTGCAGGCCGTGCTTTTCTGGCATGGGGCCCCATTCCGCTCCTGAAAGGCTTTCCAACATCACTGATGCACCCGTGCCCGCATGGCTCCTGCCCCCTTCTTGGGCTTCACCAGGAGGCTCCAGCGGGAGCAGAGGTCCGATGGGAAGGTGGAACCCAGAGGTGGGAAATGCAGCGCTGAGCACTTTGGTCTCCACCACGCCAGGCTCTCCTCAAAGCGTAGAGCTCAGCTCTGTTCCCTTGCCACGGTGAGAGGTAACTCAGCGACAGCCGGTGAAGGAAACTGGTTTTGGACTAGTGCGGGAGATAGTGCCAGAGAGCAGATGCTGAGAGGAGATCCTGGTAGCGAGAGGGATTTGTACCAAGAGCAGCTGCCTGGCGGGGAAGGAGATCGCTGCCTCTGCTTCCTCTCACCTGCGCTCGCTGTTCGGAGTTACAGAAGGGCAGGACGGATTTCCCTGCCGCAGGAACCCCTTTCGTGTACAGGCTTTTGGCAATAGGATTTGTGCCCCTCCACCCCCACCCAGTATCTTCCAAAATCTTCATTCAGTATTTACCTGCTTCACTGATAATGAACGATCTCATTCATCCTTAACTCCGGAAAGTTATTCCCAAGCCTGCTCGAGTTGCCTGGAACTAACGTGTTTCTGTGTGAAAACAGAGAGAAAATTCAGCGGCATTTGACTACACTTAAATTGTCTTAGGTTTAAAGACGTTTTGTCTTAGCATGCATGAAATGGGTCACTAAGCATTGCAGCCAGAAAGCCATTTTCCCCCCGCATTAGCAGAGTGGTGGCAAACAAAATAAAAAACTTTTAAAAGAAGGAGCTGAGCGGAAAAAAATGCACACGACTTTGTATGAAGATTCAGAAATGGCCCTACAGTGCCCATGCAGGAGTCACGTCTCACGTATCCTGACCCCTGCGAACACCGAATTCTTCTTGCCGCAGGTGCTACGCGCTCCACGTGAAGCGACGCGGTACGTAAACACACCGAGTGCTCAGGAAGCTGGGAGGAGAGCGCCGAGGCTGCTCGGGGCCCTGCTGACCGACACCGGCAACCGGCCCCGCGCTCAGCTGTAGGAACGGCTCCGCAGAAGCGGTTTTTGCACAGGCTCTGTCCCATCCCTGCTGCTAAACGCAGAGTCAACACTCTCCCGGCTTGCGCCGTGCCGTGCCCTGGCTGGGGTCGTTGCTCTCCTCCCCACGGCCCTTCCCCAAGGTCCGACCC